GATGGGGCTGTACTGGGATGGGGCTGTACCAGGGGATGGGGCTGTACTGGGATGGGGCTGTACCGGGATGCGGCTGTACCGGAGCTGTCCCAGGGGATGCTTCTGTACGTGGGGTGGGGCTGTACCGGGAGCTGGGGGGCTGAACCGGGCTGGGGCTGTCCCGGGGCTGTCCTGGGGGATGATGCTGTACCTGGGGTGGGGCTGTACCGGGAGTAGGGGGGCTGTACCGGATGTGTACCGGGGCTGTACCGGGGGCTGGGGCCGTACCGGGGGCTGTACCAGGGACGCTGTATCAGAGGTGGGGCTGTCCCTGGGGTTAGGGGCTCTACCGGGGTTGTACTGGGGGGGGCTGCCCGGGGGATGAGGCTGTACCGGGAATACTGAACCGCGGGGGATGGGGCTGTCCCGGGGGAGGGGCTCTACCGGAGATGCTGTACCGAGGCTGTACAAGGCATGCTGTCCCGGGGGTGGGGCTGTCCTGGGGATGCTGTACCGGGGGATGGGGCGAGGCGCTGTCCGGGGGTGACGCCCTGTCCCCCCCCCGCCCCCGACTCACCGGCGCTTCTGGGGCATCCTGGTCGCCCCCGGTCGCCTCCCGCGGGCTGGGGCAGGGCCGGTGGGAGCGGAGGGCGCTGCCGAGCCGGGCTGGGCCGCCCCGCCGGGCCGGGGGCCGCGGGGGGGGGCACAGGAACCCGGAAACGGCGGGGGCGGGGTCAGCCCCGCCCGGAGCGGGGCCGGTGATGAACGGACAGAGACGGGGGGGCACCGGGAGGGGGGCGGGGGGGGGTACACGGGGGGGCTGAACGGGCAAGGGGGGGGGGGGCCCGGGGGGGGGCAACGGGCCGGGGGGGGGACGGTGGGGACGCGGGGGGAGGGGGGGAGGGGGGGGGGGCGGGGGGGGCACCTGGGGAGGGGGCACGGGAACATCGGGCACGGACAGACAGAGGCGCACACACGACGGTGCTGAACGGACAGCGACCGGGCACGGGGACACCGGGCACGGACACACCGGGCACGGACACACCGGTGACCCCCACGGTGCCCAGTGTCTCCCATCCTCCACAGTGCCCCGAAGTGCCCCCCACCCTTCGCAATGTCCTCCCTCCACATGCTACTCACTCCTCCCAGTGCCCCCCCAATTCTTCCCATTCCTCCCAGTGCCTTCCAATCCAGCCCACTCCCCTCCAATTCTTCCCACTTCACCCCAATCCCTTCCTCTCAGTGCCCACATCGTGCCCACTCCCCCCAGTTCCCCCAATTCTTCTCACTTTCCCCAGTTCGCCCCAAACCCTCCCACTCCTCCCAGTGTCCCCCATCCTCCTCGGTCCCCCACTCTTCCCACTCCTCCCCATGACCCCCAATCACTCCCAGTCTTCCCTATTTCCCCCGTCCTTCCCAGTCTCGCCCATCGCCCCCGAACCCCCCCAACCGCCCCCCCCCCGACCCATCCGCGGGCAGAAGGAGGCGGGGGGAAGCCGAGGCCGCGTTTATGGGGTGGGGGGGGCCGCGGACGCTGCGTTACAAAACGAGGACCAGTACATACATAGGTACATTATATATAGTATATACACCCACAGGTACACGTGTGAGATTAAATAACCCCGGCCCCCCCCCGGGGCTCGCGCTCCCCGACCCCCCCTTAAATATCCTCCCCCCTCCCCAAGTGGCTCCAATCCAGTCGGACCCCCCTTCCCCCCGCCCCGCGTGCCCCCTCCCGCCTCCCACTCCCAGTATAACCAGCTCTGGCTCCCAGTTGCCCCCACATCCAGTTACTGTCGGAGACTCGGTACTTCGGGGCAGGGGGGCGAGGGGGCCAAAATAGAAATGAAAAATAATGGGGTTCCCCCCGGGCCGAGGGGGTGGGACCCCCCGACCCGGCTGGGGGTGGCCAGTAGGGGGGGTGTCCCAGCCCCAGAGAAATACTGTGATTTGGGGGGGTGTTATTTACAGTTGGGGGGTGAGGGCATCGCCCCCACCCTGGAGGGGGACCACCGTGTGTCCCCCCCCCGCCCAGGGAAGGCAAAAGCCCCGGGCTCAGGGAGGGTAGCAGAGGGTGCTGGGGGGCACTGGGGGCCCCCACAGTGGGGTACTGAGCAGCCCCCCATTGCCGGGGGGGTAGTGGGGCTGGTGCCCCCCCCCCCCTCCTGCTGCAGGGGTTGGCAAAGGCTGGGGGGGGTGTCCCTCCTGCCTGGCGATGGTGGCACTGAAGGGGAGTGAGAGGGGGGCACTTGGGGTCCCCCCTCCATGGCGATGGTCCCGGGCACCAACCCCGAGGGGAGCACCTCGTTGTGGGGCTGGGGGTGAGTCCGTTGGTGGGGTGGGGAGGGCCAAGGCAACCGACCCCCCCGACCCGTGCTCCAGGTGAGTCCCAAGAGAAGGAACTGGGGATTGGGGGGGTTTCCAGCGTACCCCCCCCAATATGGCTCACAATTTGGGGGGGTGGGGGGTGTCACTGTCCGGTCCCCGCCCCCACAGCGTCCAACCAGGGTGCCAGCTCTGTGTCCGGGGGCGGGGGGATCACGTCGAGGGGAGGGGGGAGGCCTGGGGGAGCTGTGACCCCCCCATTGGTCCATCACGTCACCACGAGACTCACACTGGACACAGACACGAATGCGGGGTGTGTCCCCCCCAAAACCCCCCTCTGTCAGACGCCCCCCCACACACACACTGCCTGTGCCCCCAGGGGGGGAGTGGGGGGCACCAGGAGGCCTTGGCGGGGGTCTCATCTCCTCCCCGGTGGGGAAGAGGTGGGGAAGGGGCGGGGGTAGGGCTGGGGGGGTGGTTTGAGGAGAAGAAATGGGCCCCCCCCACCCCAAAATCGCTGCGGTTTGAGGGTGGTTTAAGTCGGGTTGGAATTTTTCAAAGTCTGCAGCTTGGCCTCCAGTTCGGAGATCTGAAAAACAGCAAAGGGGACAGGTCTCAGCGGGGGGGGCCGGGAGGGGGCACACACGGGGGGCGGGGGGCACACGGCTGTGAACGTGGGGTGGGGGGACACACAGTGGTGGGGGGG